TTTTATTTTTTCAGGTTCATGTATCTACTATATAAAAAATAAATTTAGCATAGTTTTAAATTTAATAAATATATTTATACTAACCACTATAGTATTAAAAAATTTTTTGATTAAAGGTTTGTCGAAAGTTGGATTTATTTTTATCAGGTGGTTTTTTTCTAAGTGCTTGAAAAGATTAGAGATGCTGATCTCACTACAGGTATATTTGGTGCTGCAATAATTGTAGGAAACTTTTTTACTTTCATTGAAATCAGTATTCTTTGTAAAATAGTTTCACACTTTACTTCTATAATTTATTTTATTACTCGATGACACCTCCAAAAAACTACTTGTAGCAACATTACTAGTATCGCTCAATTCATAGTTATCTAAACTGAAACTTTCATTATTTATTTCATTGGAATCATTGAAAGAACTATTATATTCCATTTTATTTTGATGTAAATAATATCAGTAATGTTGCAAGGAGAAAAATATCGTAAAAAATATCACAAAATTTTAAAGAAACATGTAAAGGTGTTAAAGGGATATAAAAAAAAAACCAGGGGGGGTTTTTTAATTACCTTAAATAACTATATTTAAACTGTTGATTTTTATTTAACCTGGCTAGGTTTTAAAACTTGAAATCTAATCGAATACAAAATTTAGAATTCAATCAGATCGGATTTCAAAATTTGAAATCCGTATCTGATTTGTATACAAATGGATCAAAAAATTTAAAATCCGATCTGATCCATTCGGATCAAATCCACAGATTATTTGGATTTGGATAAAAATTATGATCTCTACCCTAAGGATATTGTTGATCTTGTAAGTTTTTCTCATTCTGGTGATTAGAATTTTGATAAGTTATTTTCTAGTAACTTCCAATAGTACAATTGATCTTATATTTGCCAATTTACACTCCTATAGTTTTGATTTAACTATTGGATATATATAGTTTTATTTTCAATATATAGGTATAACTTTCCATCTTAAGAAGGTATTCAGTATTTTTCACAGGTATTCTTTTTCTTCTTGACTCAATTTCTTTAGCATTTCATAGTTAATCTAAGATTTTTCAGAGGCTTTGTTATTTGAAAGTGCATGAAGAGTTTCTTCCAATTCTTCATGTATGATTGATTCTAGAAGATTGTCATACCATATATCTTAGATGTACTACTTGGAATCATATTTCTTTTTCCACTTTTCAATAAAATTGACAAAGTTGATATCTCATTTTTTGAAGACCTCTTAATGGTATCTTCTTATTTCTTTTTCAAAAATTTTTTTGTTTGTTATTATGTATTTTATACCATCTTGCTTGACTTTAATCTGGTCAACTATTATTTTGCTTTTTTTTTTTATTTGTTAGTGAGTTTATCATCTTCTTTTGATTGTGTTTGAGATCATCAATTATTAATTGATATATTATTATAAAATATTGACTTGAAGTAAAAAAAAATTATATATTATTTTATTAATAAATTATATATATAAAATTTATATATAAAAATTTATAAAAAATATGATTTTTATAATAATAAATTTTTATAAAAAATTAATTATAAAATTAAAAAATATATATATTTTAATTTATAAAAAACAACAAAAACTTTTTTTATTAAATATAAATAAATTTATTACAATTTTTAAAATTTTATAGATATTATATAAAATTAATTTTAAAAAATTTAATTTTAATATGATATCTATATAAAATTTTAAAAATTGTTAACTATTTAATTTAATTTATAATTAATAAAAAAATAATTTATTGATAAAAACATTATAAAAAATTATTTTATTAAATTATTTGTTTTAATTAAAAAATCTATTCATTAAAGTAATTTCAATAAATTTTTTTTCATCTTAAATATTATAAAAAAATAAATTCTTTATAATTTTTTTAAAAATTTTTTCTTAAGTAATCTTATTTTTTATATTTTAAAAATATAAATATAAATTTTTATTTCATTTTGTTTAATGATTATTAGATTATGAATAAAAATTATAAGTCAATATTCATTCAAAGACTTTGCTTTTATCGTATATATCATATATTGCATATACTATATAATTTTTTAAAAATAAAAAATATATATCTAATAAATATTGAATAGTATATAAATTTAAAATTGAAATTTTAATTATAGATTTAAAAATCATTAAAATTAAAATTAATGGTAAAAATATAAAGAAGATTGCAAATTTTCATAAAAATAAATCTTGTTTTTTTTATAAATGAATTGATCAAAATTTTTATTTGATTTTAATTTGATTATAAAAAAATTTAGAAATTTTAATAAATAGATTATAAAATTTTTTAGTTGAGTTTAGTTTAGATATAAATATTTTAAATTTGATTAATTTATTTCATAAAAATTTTTTGAATTCGGTTAATTTATTTTACAAAAAAGTTTAATAGTTTCTGTAAAATTTTTAACTTAATAATTAATATCTTTAAGAACTATTGAAATTGATAAAAAAAATTTTTTTTTTATTCAAAGATTTACGATAAAATGAAAATTTTTTGCTTTTTATTTATGCACGGTATGTATATATTACATTGTATTAATTATGTAGAAGTAATAATCGTTAATAAAAAAAGTGAAAATTATTAGTGAATATTATTGAATATTTTCTATCCAAATATGGCATGCTGATTTTAATCAAATTTTTGACTGTAATTAAATAATAGCATTTTGCATATAGTGCGAAAATTTTCTTTTATTCTTAATTATATAACACCCATTAAATTTTACATGTCAAGTGAAACATTGTCATACTTATATTTGTCATCAAGCTTCGACAGCTTTCTAAGAATAATAAATTAATATTGAATGTAAAAGATTAGATAGAAGAAATTTCTAGAAAAATGAATATTATATTTGCTTGCTAAAAAATTCAATAAGTTTATATGGTGGTTTATTTGAGAAGATCTTGGTTTAAAACATATTTGATCGTTCCATCAAGAATAAATGTAAATAACTCGTTAACTCTCCTGATCCCGGATGTCAAGTGAGAATGTCGTGTGATTGAAAATTCCAAATTGAGGGTGCACTACAAAGCGCCTAGACATCTATTGTTTTGAAAACTAACCGAAATAACATCGAAATGATCATTTAATCACTACAGTATATTAAAACCTTTTGCGCAGGTGTTTAAACGAAATTCTGAATCCGAATTTGAGCCAATGTACTGTAGACAATTGGATCGTAATCAATGGCCAGTCGTTCAGAATAAACCTGCTTTGACTATATTTGATCGAATAAAAAAGAAAAAGAATAAAGAAAATCTAATCCATCTATCCAATTCAAGTCATCTAATCGCTTAACCATCACGCACAACGGATAACATGACGAGACATTATTTCCACATCTCATATAAGATTCTTTAAAATGTTTTCGCGTAACAAATTTGTCCTTTGTGTGCGTTAAACAATCATACTATTAATATTTCCTTAAATAACTTTTTTTTTTCACATGACCAACTTTTAAAAAAGAATAAATACCCTTAAAAGAATAAATGGGTGTTCACGCGCACAAAGCACGTTTACTTCAACAATGAAAATTGTTATAATTTCCCGAATATACAAGTTATTGCTGTTAAAACAAAGAACCGCACATCCGTGAACCTACTTTGCACCGTTTCAGGATGTTATTCTTAAAGTAATGTTTGGCGTATGGATTGCATATAGAGTATAAGTATTTGTCACGTGACATAAAATAATATACAGTATGTCGCGGCTTTATTATCTTTTCACAAAAAAAAAAAAAAAAAAAAAAAATTTACAGTATAGAATGGTAAAAAAAACAAAATACAAACACCGTGAAAAAAAAAGGTCGGTGGAATGAAATTCAAAAATAATCATTGGTATATGTGGAGAAGATATGTATATGTTATATTCGCTAGGCAAGAAAAAAAAATAAATAAGAAAATCATGTTGATAGATGCATAATTTTTTCTTACTGCGTTCATAAAACGCGATCTTTGGAAACTTATTAAATTGGAATAAATAAAATCTTAAATAAAGTCATGTGAAAATATATACAATTTGTAAGGAAAGTGAGATCTTCTTCGAGGGGAACGGCATAATTCAATATTCTTTTATTTCGAGAACACCCTAGAAGATGATGTTCCATCCAATGCATCATAATTTATTATGCATGCAAAGATCTCTTCCTCTTATTAACAAGAGGTTTTTCACTGACTGAACACCATGAATCCTGTTTCTCATGTTTTATGTCATATGATTGGCCAACATCAAGTTCACTAACCAATGTTGGCGTTAAATTCTTTAACTCTATCTTTTTCGGATCCACATCAGTATTCATAATATTGTGCCGATTAATGGATGATGATGAATTAAAATTCGAGGAGAGAAGAGTGATGCCTTCACCGGGTTCTTCAGTAAACTCTTTTTTGATATTAGGGGTCATTGTGCTTGTGGCGAGTAATACAAACTTTTGAAGTTCCTCGAGCTTACATGTAGACAAATTTATTCCATTGAACTGGTTATCTTGTGAAAAAGTTGCATTGTAAGGTATTGTCTATTGGATAAAAGGATTTTTATTTTTTCATTTTTTTTTTTTTTGTCAGTAATTTGTTCGACATTTTCAAGAACTCAAAATACAACCTTATCTATTGATTCCGTATCAAATTCTCTGGTTAGTTTCGTCAACTTGCTAACTATCGTCTCTATCCTAGTTAATCTTTCGACAAGTATTTTCATGCAATTTCCCGATTCTTGACAATTGTCGCAGTTCTTATGATTACTAACTTTTGTTGTTGGGCTATCGCAGTCACTGACGTGTTGAGATGACAATTTTGTGGGTGCAATGATATTACTAAGATATGTATTGAGGTTGTTGTCGCTTTTCATATTTTCCCCATTAAAGTTGTTGCTTAATCTGAGTTTTTGAACACGAGAACATGACTGTCCTCGTATTTTCGTTATGGATTTTGGTTGAGCTTTCGCGCGAGGCATGGTATTTTCGGGAACACTTTTCGGGACGAATCAAATTTTTTCAAAGCCGAATCGTCAATATTTTTTTTTTTCTTTTTTCTTTTCTTTTTTCTTTTTTTTTCTTTCTTTTTTTTTTTAATTGTTTTTTTTCTTTTTTTTTTTTTCTTCACCAAAATAAAACTTTTTGAAAGAAAGACCTAAAAAATAAGAGTTTCTCCAGGTACTTTATATATGTTTTTTTTTGTTTTTTTTTTTTTTTAATGAACGCAAGCTACATGAGTTTTACTGTCGTAACAAAGCAAACTACACCAGGAGAAAAAAGTCCGTAAACTAACGAATACAGAATCAAATTAGATACTTTGTTTACAGCGGAAGCTCATTTCCATAATGTTTTTGTGTAACGTGTATGTGCTACCTTACTTTAACTTTATAATCGCAATTATTCAAAAATCTTGGTTTAACTCCGAATGAATGAACACTACATTTAAGGCGCGTCGTCCGAGGTTTCTTCGCCTCCGTAAATATAATATTAATAAAGAAATTCATTATTAGGGTCTTGCGGTGAATTTAATTAATTATTAACCGAATTTTGATGATCAATCACTTGCCACATAAGGTGGCTAATACAAACACTTTGTATACGCACAGTAGATTTCTTTCTCGCCACTTTGAGGACATTGTGGCTTATTTCTGTATCTGATCCGTTGCCACACCGCCACTCTTTAAGGACAAAAAAGGAAGCCATTCAGTACAAGGATTACTCACAGTATTGTCACGAAAAAGAGTAACAAGTAACATGTTTCATCAGTCAAGAGTTGACATATGTTTTTACCAATAAAGGATGTAATGAACCAAGACAAGGTTTTACATGAAACGGGACTTGTCAGAAGAATCTGGTGTGCAATGAAACCACAGTAACATACTCAACAATGTCGGACGTTTGTCTTTGTTATCAATGTTATTCTTTATTGTTGTTAGCTTCTAATTTATTTATTGGCGCGCGAAAGGCGCGCCTACTTCAAATCGACAACAATTAACTTCGCAATCTTTGTATTAATGGCTATCAGAATGGGATAAACTTGCAATGGGTTTGCGACAATATTCGATCATTAATATTATGAGAGTCAGGATCTATTGGTCAACATTTTTGCGATGTTTAACAGAGAGGTTTTAACCTCAACTCTGAATCGATTTTCATTGTCCATCATTCTTCTCCTTTTCGTAACTGCTTCACTGCCCAAGCTTCAATTTGGTTGGTTGATATTGTGAACATACAAAGAAAAGCTCGACAAATTTTCAGGAGAGGAGTCACGGAGACGAGTGAGGACCACACAGATAATTTTAGCAAATTTAGTCATAATGACTTTTTATTGGGATGATAATACACGGTGCATTATTATCATTTATTTCATGGTCCATTGTGTACGATTGGAGGCGACCAAAATGCTAAATATTTTTATTTTTTAATATACGTACGTATATAATGCAAATTTTAGGATCCCCGTCCGCCTTCGAAAATATTTGAATGTGTATACTGTATTTTTTAATCACTTATTTCTCGTTTGTGAAAACATCAATCGTAAAAATTGTAACCGTAGTGGAAACGCAGGTTACATGCTAGCAAACATTTCCAAGTATAGCATATTGTATTATATAACGCCTATTTAGAATACAAGGCACTTCTATTTTTGTAGACAACGAGATTTCGACCTAACAATTGCCTCGAGCAACTTTATACAATATTTCCTTATCCATTATTGATCTCTGTATAACTGTCACGCACACCGCATTATCCAAACATATATTTGTATTACATAACCATAACGCATTTACTTACTTCCTTCAAACGTTTTATTAATTCCTTTTTCCTCCTTAACTAATAACATTTGTAATCATGCTATTGTAAATTCGGGTTTTGGATACCTTTTTTCAAATAAGACACATAAGTCAAAGTCAGGCTCTGATATTATATGGAAATCAATAAATTTCCTAAAATCGATTTCATACATTCCATCAAATACATCTCCAATTTCTAAACATGCATTCCAGGAATAGAAGTTTATTATGAAACTCGAAATAGAATAGATATGTTTCTGACATTATTGTATTTGCGATTCCTGAACACCTCCCCCGAAAATAACTATTGTACATGATAAATTCAAGCTTATCGGTTTTTCCGCTGAAAATGCGTAAACGGGGTACCGTGCAACTTGAAAAATCTATTTTTGGGTGTTCCCCAAAATTTTATCCTTTTATGTTAAGGCCATTGTTTCCTGAAAAAGAGAACATCTTTCTTTCTTCAAAGTGACAGCTTCGTTCGTTTCTACCGAGATCTAGTTCCCTCTATCATGTTTAAATTGACGAATCCATTTGAAACTCACCATCCAAATATCTCACGCCAATATATGCACGAAAAAACTTTTTCGCCTAAAAATTTCAATTCTCTGAACTCTTTAGAAAAAAGAAGGCATTTGTTTACGCGTTCCGCTGAAAGTTTACCAAATCGGTCTGTCACATGATTTGATCAAGATGCATCACGTATTTAGACCAGGCATAAAGCATGGTCAGACCCCTAGTTGAAGGCTTTTGTCTATATCCTTTGCAAAAATTCAACTCACCGCCATGTGTTGTATATAACGCGGTATGCAATTTGAAGCATACTTTGTTGCGTGTACAGTAAATCAATAACTATTAATAAAATGAAATCTTTAGTTATCAAATTTACTGTACTCTTAAATTTGATGAATGTATTATTCTAAATATATAATAAAGCATTGTAATAACCTTATTATACTGTAATATGCTAAATAATATTAAATTCTATTGTAAACATAATAATAATCAATCCTTAAATAATTTGTCAGATATAAAAAAATAACGGTCAGATGATTTTTATATTTTTATAATCTTTTTTTTTTTTTTTTTTTTAATGCTGGTAAGCCATACTTTATTGATTGTATTAAGATAACAGTAGGTAAAAAACTATCATCTTAAACTGTACAACCTACAGTATATACCTATTAAATAAAACATCAATAGGATGTCTCTTATTAGAAATTCATCCACCTTATGGTTAATATCATCCCAACAATAAACCAAATGACCTGTATAGAGGGCCTAATAATGTTGAAATAATTTTAAATATGCAAAAGAGAGGGTGTATATTAAATCAATAGGATAAAAATATGTATAAATCAATTTATATGAATAGATTATATTAAATATTCATTCTATATTATATACAGTAAATTTTATTGGTTAAACAAATATACTGTATGCATACAAAATTAAATAAAAAAACTTTGCCCATAACAAGAAGAGTATTAAAAGAAAATAAAGTTTATTTTAATTTGAAATAATCTGATTAATTATACTATTTCTATTCATTCTATCATCATAAATATAATATTTTTCAAAAATTTTATTAATTAAAAATATATTACTGGTTTTTAATTTTTTTGTTAAAATCTTCTTGAGACCTTTGTCTTTTGAGTTTCTTTCTTTTAATAAAAGCTTTTTTCTTGTTAAAAATATGGTTTTTTAACTTAGAAAATATAAAAATCTTTTTGTTTTGTTTTATTTATAAATTCATTGTATTTGTTTTTATTTAATTATCTTTTCATATATCATATTCCAGATTCTTTTACAAACTTGATTGCAAATTCTTTTTTATATCTTTATTATTTATTTTATTGCTTCTTTTTCTATACTATATATTTTTATTATATTTCAAGTTTATTATTTTTAAAATAAAATCACTTCTTATAAGTTCAATAGATCTTGCTAGTATCTTTTTTTTTTACCTTTACTATTTCATTGATAGCTATCTAACTATCTATATAAATGTTTGCAATACTATATTTAAATAATTCACTTAAAGCAATTAGAATTGCTACTATCTCTATTCTAATTGATGATAAATACCATTTTATCTACTCTTAAAATATATATTATTTTAAATCTGAAGTGATAATAATTTAGTCAAGATCCATATAAAATTTGCTATTAAAATTTATTAAAAATCTATCTGTATAAATATAAAAAACAACATAGTTTTCTATTTTTTCTCTAATTGTTTTTTGAGTTTCTAGATTCTCTTATAAGCTGCTGATATTTTATTTTATTATTTGATTTTTATTTGTACTTTTGATAATATGTTAACTAATATATTATTTTTTTTTAAAGAAGTAATATTTACTTGAATCTATTTTACAAAATTTATAATAAAGAAATTTGTGAATATCTTGTTTCTTCATATAGTTTTTCTTGTCTTAAAGTTATTTTCTCTTATAAATATTTAACTTTTTTGGATAGATATAGTAAATAAGTATTATTATATTACTATAAAATTGTATTTATCTTTATTGAAATTAAATGTATTGATTATATAGTCTTGGCATGTTTCCAAAGATTAACTTTCTAAATTTTAAGTATAATGTTTATATCTTATAATATTTTGATCTATTTTTTCTATTTTTTTCCTATTACTTATTTTCTTACTTTTCATATATAAATTCAATAAAGCCTTATTATATTGTATTCTATTGTAGAGATCTCTTATATAAAAATATTATTTTTGTTTATAGATTTGAAATTTCTTTTGCTTTTATCATTATTTTTATCTTGTTACTTAATATTAGAAACTATCTGAAAATTGGATCTAAAACCTCTTTTTTTTCAATTCTTATAATTTAACATCATATTAATATTTTTATCTATTTATGTTTAATAACTATTTAATAAAAAAGATATTAAGATTATATAAATTGTATCAATATTTAAAGTAGACAGTAACTATTTATAATATTTTCTATGGAAGTATTTATTTTCCAAATAAGTATAAATCCATTGTTTTCTCTACTTAGATCAAAGGTAAAATCATATCTTTCATTAATCAAATAGTGTCATATATTAAGCTTTTTTCTAAATTTTTTCAAAACTATTCAATTTTGCTTAAAGTAGATTTTGTTGACTAGAATTTGTTTTAAAAAGTTTAGAATTTGATTCTTGCTATTTCTTCT